TAACCAAACTGATAAACAGAATACGGTGGCTTAATCCCGCACCAGGAAGCTGTACCGCGAGTGGTTGGTGCAGCCGAAATACATCGTAATGGACGACGAGACGTACATTAAAGCGGATGCCAAGCAGATCCCCGGCCTGGAGTTTTTCGTCGGCAAGTCCCGCCTTGATGTTGCGGAGAAGTTTCGGAAAAAGAAGGTCGACAAATTTGCCAAGAAGTACTTAGTGTGGCAGGCGATCTGTGGGTGCGGCAAATTCAGCAAGCTTTACATAACGACTGGCTCCATCAGCGGGCAAATATATAAAGAAGAATGCCTCCAGAACAAATGGTGCGACACTAGACTGATGCAAAATTTGAAATTTTCGCTCCACAGTGCTCAAACGGTGCCAAATCTGGTCCTCCCAACAAACAATTTTAGCTGCAGACTAGCTTATACAGGCAAATGTTAGCTGTATAAGCCAATTTTTGGCTGTATAAGCTAATCTGCAGCTAAAATTGTTAGTTGGGCTGATTAGCCTCCAAAAGTTAAAACTCATTTGATAAGAAACTGACTTGGCACAAACCATTTGAAGTTTACATGGAAATTACTATAGGAAAACAAAACTTTGTGTTCATTGTCTTCTAGCCTTTTTACATATTGTAATGTTAATTGCAGCAGGTCATTTTTCAGCCAAACGTCAATTTAAATAGTTATTAATTGTTTAAGAGATTGATAATCTAATGGCAAGATTAAGCAACTGTATTGTGGGCAACACTGTATTCTGCAGTGTGACATAGTAGCCATGATTTTTGTCCTCTATTCTACGCGCCTAAACACCAATGTTGCCTGCTGAACAGTTGATTGAGCATAATCATAAGACATTAGTGACTTGAATCATTAATAATTTTTGTTCCTTACATTTGATCGAAAAGTGGTGTTGACCAAAGTTGTAGCTGAGCAAATTTTCAACAAGCTCAGCTATCATTTTTTAAAGTAGAGTGAACTAATGAATTTTGGGATAGATATGAACCGAAATTATGGTTTCTCCATAGTAATTCCCATATAGACTTCAAATGGTTTGTGCCAAGTCCGTTTCTAACTAAATGAGTTCAAATTTTGGGAGGCTAATCAGGGCCCAATTTGGAACCATTTGATCACTGTGGAGCGAAAATATCAAATTTTGCACAGTCTAGTGCGACACATCTTAATCTCGATTGTAAATGGTCGAAAAATCTCACACTAGCGAATCAATCTACGAAAAATCTTCTTTTATCTCTTGCATTTAAACCCATCTACTCGCATCGCTCTCCACCTTTTTGCAGGAAATCTTCAAAATCATAATTAATCGTGTTTCTATCTAATAAGCGCGAGTGCATCTCACAACAGCAAAGCACAAAATTTCCTGCATCTTATACCCTGGACAGACTATGGCTTATATCATGTAATATAAGCTGTCTTGCAATGAGCACTCATACATCTAGTTTTCGCTGGAAATCCTATGTATGAGTGCTCATTGCAAGACAGCCTATATTACATGATATAAGCCATAGTCTGTCCAGAGTATTAGATAGAGTCGCCCCCTCGCACCAGCTGTCCTTCCTCCGGTCCCACGAAGGTGACACTCTGACCGGATCTGGCATCGTGCCATTACGCGAAACCGGTGATGGAGTGCTACCAAAGCCAACGATGTTGTTTTTGTGCCGAAGGAGGCAAAGCCGCCAAACTCGCCAGAACTTCGGCCAATAGAAAAGTTCTGGGCGATTATGAAGGGCAAGCTCCGGAAAATAGGGAAGGTCTTCAAAAACGACAAGGATTTGAAGAAAGAGTGGATGACAGTGTGTAAGAAAGATGGCGCAAGTGTTGCACAAGATTTGATGGGTAGCGTTAAGTCCAAGGTGCAGGCATTTAGTCTAGGCGAGGAGGTTGAATAAACCAAGAAGATCCTTCGTTGTGCGCTTCGATATCGGATGCCCACGGCAAAACAAAATAAGAAACGTATTCTGGAATAAAACCTCCAGTGAGTGACCTTTGGTGAACGTATGTGGGCGAGTATGTAAGGGTTCATCGAAGTTCATCCCACAATTAGGTTTTGCACCGTCGGGGTTAACCTCAATCTGATGACAGTTCAGTGGTACTGTTTACATGGACTTAGTCGATTTTTTCTTGGGTAGATTTTCTCGATAATTTTTCAGACTGCAGTGAGATGTAAACCACACTTCTGCAATGTTCAAGAGCAACATCCTTTCAACGCGCTGTTCCTCGACAATTTTCAAGTTAAAATTCGGAAATTTTGATTTTTTTTTTTTCGAAAAAACGACTAAGTGCTTGTAAACAGTACCACTGAACTGTCAAAAAGGTTCAGCCGATTAACACTGAGTTCATTCGTGACGTCACGCTGCAGAACCTAATATAGTTGGGATCAATTTGCTTGATATTGACGAGTGCACGGATGGATTTGAGTTCACTCACTCGACAAAAAGTGACACAACAGCGGGGCCCTGTTTACTAAAAATGAACACATGAATAATACTCACGTAACATTTGAAACGGGCCTATCAACTTATGTACACAAAACTTGTTAAGCCTTTTTCGCGCGAACCGAATACGCTCACGCAAACTAACAACACCATCGGGCAGAGGAAATTCTCCCCTTCCCGATAGTGCTCTTGGTTTGCGTGGGCGTACTTTGGTTCTCGTGAAAAGGACCTAGCAAATTATTTACAAAAGTTGATAGGCCCTTTTCAAATGTTACGCGAGCATTATTCATGTGTTCATTTTTAGTAAACAGGGCCCCGCTGTTGTGTCACTTTTTGTCGAGTGAGTGAACTCAAATCCATCCATGCACTCGTCTATTGAGTTATGTTCAAACGCTTGCTCTACCTATGATCAACCAGTCGGGTTATTCACGAAAGAGAAAATCGATGAAGAGAATCGATCAACAATGATAGGCCTTTTTCTCGTATTGCGCGAGAATTTACGATAACAGACTTCTTCAAAATGTCCGCGGCGGAGTCAGATTAATTTTGATTTGTGTCCCAACAAGGATTCGCACTACGAAAAAGCATAAGCTGACGTTCAATTTCACCAGGATTGTTTATGGTTATTCACGTAAAAAAGTCACGTCGTGGTGATGTGACGCTCCATTGGATTTGCACAGAGAGTCACGTCACCACGACGTGACTTTTCTCACTTCACTAGTGACAAAAGTCACTTCGACTCTCGGAATAACCCCCAGTATGTACCATAAGCAGACTCAACGGCTTCGCCGTACTGTCGTATTGGACGACTAGATCTTTCAAGCATTTGATCAACCGTCGTTCGAGGTAGCCCGTTTTAGCCGTCTTGACTGCCATATCGATAAGACCCTCTCGGCCGGTCGATGAACTTGATTGAACTGAAGCCCGAATAGAAAGTCTTCAGGATGAAATTACGAGCCGCTAGGATTTGTGCTGAGACGGACTGAGTTATGCTAGATTTAAATAAATTCACGGTTTAGAAAATACTTTCACGAACGATCCTCGAAGCCGGTGTGTCGTTTTTGAAGTCTGCAAGCAACGATTGGCAAAACGTTAACACTCAAAAGTGATGCCGTTTTATATTATATTGTTTGTGGCCTACTTGCCAAAGTGTGCCCTATCGTGTCATGCTATATTGCGGCACAGTGTGCAGAATTGATTACCCCTTGACTATTTCCCATTTTTTTTTTTTTCTAAAATCGTAAGCACCCATCTTGGATTTGAAAATGCCGTCGAATATCGATTTTCATTCTCTAGACGTCATCTCGATTCCAAAAATACCTATATTAGTGGGTATTTGACAGTGTTTCCCACTTTTTCTTAATCTGGAAGCCACCATCTTGGATTTCAAAATGGCTTCACATATCAATTTCCGATCTCTAGACGTCACCCCGATTCCAAAAGTACCCACTATATTTGACACTATTTCCCACTTTTCTGAAATCGGAAGCCACCACATTGGATGTCAAAAAATTGTACGTCGAATATTGATTTACGGCTTCTGGACGTCATCCCGATTCCAGAAAAAAAAACCCATATTGATGAGTATTTGATAGTATTTTCCTCTTCCTATTAAACCGGAAGCCGCCATCTTCGATTTAAAAATGGCGTGGGATATAATTTTCATTCTCTAGACGTTATCCCGATTGCAAAAAATCCTACATTGATGAGAATTTCACAGTATTTCCCCCTTTTCTGAATCTGAAAGCTGCTTCTTAGATTTCAAACTGGCGTCGGACATCGATTTTCGGCCTCTAGACGTCATCCCATTTTCAAAAATACCCATATTGATGGGTATGAAATGATAAAAAATCAACACATGACGTAATGCTCGCGTAACTTTAGAAAAGGGCCTATCAACTTTGACAAACAACTTGTTAGGCCCTTTTCACGCCCACCGCCCACACAAACCAAGAGCATTATTCGGAAGGGGTGAATTTACCAAAATTTAAATAAGTATAGATAATGTGAGTCGCTATAAATCAATGGAGACACATGGTAGTCTAGTCGCATAGGAGTATTGAGCGAAAACCCCAAGCTTGATAACTTCAAAAAAATTAACTCAAAAACGAAAAAAAAAAGCTGATTTTTTGTTATGTTATGTAAAAAAAGCCTAAATTTTCAAGGAACATATAAAAAAATATTGGTCCCTCTGTCTACAAACCATGAAAGCCTTTTAAAAACAAATACAATCAATGTTTTTTAATACAAAATCCCATTTTTTCATATAATAATACTGTTTTTAGAACGTATTTTTAATTACCTTTCATTTGATATTTTGATCTGTGAAATCAGCCCAGTAGTTCAAAAGTTATGAATTTATGAAATCAAAAGCAATTTAAAATCATTTTTTGGACCACCCTATTATGGACATGGTCAACCTAATGACAAAAAAAAACGGATCTAATATTTTGAAAGTAAGGAACAAATCTACCAATTTGTATGAAATTCTGAGAACCACTATACCATTTGGAATGGCTAAATCACAGACAAACAGACATAACTCTAGCAAGTTGTTCATCGAACAAGCATTTAACGGTCAATTTAAAAGTATCGTAGTTGGTAGTACCGCCACCTGTGGCGCGCATAGTCAGTTCCCTTGCGTTTGACGTTTATACACTATCGCCATCTGTTCAGCGTACTACCCACCACAGTGTACTCAACAGATGGCGGTAATGTTTTAGCGACGATGTTTTACAGTGAGAAATATTCAATGTGTTATGTCTGTTTGTCTGTGGCTAAATACTTGAATAATTAAATATTCGTTTCGTGTGAAAAATTGGGTCGATTTGACCTCTCGAAAATTGCTCGATATTGAGGTCTATCTCCGCATCATCCAGTACCTACTATAGCTATGCGACGTTTTCGTCCGTCAATTTGAACGACCGACTTCCAGCGAAATTATATCACTACCATACTGTTCCCGAGACAGGAGAGGACTACAATTACTGACACAATTCCCGGAACCATTCCTTCTTGTTTAGGCTCATTTTGGGCCTTCTTCTAGCATTTCAGCAAACTCCCGGAGCCAACCTTCGCACCAATTCCCCAAAAGAGTTCCAACAAAATGATTGTCCAAATAAGCTTGCAACACTTGAACAAACCCGTACCCAACCCATTCAAACCCCTTACGCTAATATTACCTAATAGATGTACTCTTCTAACACTTCGCTCACTCGCTCAGTCCGGGATAACTGAGCTTCTCTAGAACCCCTCATCCTCCTCACCGCACCCCTACACATTCTGCTCTCCGTCCTCATCCTGCTCGTTCAACAGCAGAGGACTGTTGTCGCCAATCACACCGGAAGCTCCACCGCCCGGTGGCAGCCCAGTACCCGGAGTCGTCGGGGCTGACTTGGAGATCCAACTGCACCGGCTTCGTCCTCGACCCAGAAGCCCAGCCGCCGCAGCACTGGCAATCGCTGACGGACTCCGCAGTGAACGGTGTCCCGTTGGTGCGCTGTTTTGATTGGAGGCAATCGGGATGTACATGGCTTTGCGTCCACCACTGGAACTGCCACTGCTGCCACCCAAGGCCGAACCCTGCGACGGGACTTTGGAGAAGAACTTCTTCTTGCTGATCAGGGAGGATGGTCGTCGCAGGTGACTCGTTGGAGGTGCCGTGGCCGTACTGCTCGGGTTGCTACTGTTGTTGTTGTTGATGGAATTGTTGGAGGCACCGATTCCCGTCGGAGGAAGTTGTGGATTGATGATGATGATGCCTTCGCTAGTGCTGTTGTTCGCACTGATGTTCTGCAGCTGCCGGATCTGCTCGAGTAGTTCACGAACCTCGACCGTCGGGCTTGTGGCCCGAGGTGGCGAGTCCGGAGTTCCCAGGTTTGCCAAACTGGACACGTTTGAGCCCGTGTTGGATCCGATGTAGGAATTCCGAAGGCCTTCGAACTTCTTCGCCAGCTCGATGTTGATCGGCGAGTCTTCGCTGTTCGCCATGAAACCGGAGGAAGGCTGCTGGTGTGCGTGGAACTGCGCTTGCTTCTGCTGCTGCTGCAGGATCTGGCAGCACGTTTCCAGGCTTCGTCGCAGGGCGTTCAGATCCTGGTACTCGCTTTCCGAGTTGGCTGGAATCGTAATCGAGATTCCGCCGATCGATCCGCACGAGCTGTAGATGTTGGCGTTGGTCAGGCTGTTTCTGTGCGTGGTTGCATTAGGATTTGCAGTGCTGCCAGCTGCACTGCTGTTGATGGTGTTGGACTGTTCGCTGGGTGCTTGCTGCACCGCAGCATCTAGACTGCCTTCGAGGGAATTGTTCCGGCTTGATTGAACCGTTGAGGCAGCGTGATGCTGCGAGTAGATCAGTCCTATGGGGTTGGACCCTTCGCTGGCAACACTGTTGTTGTTGTTGGTGCTGTTATGTACACTGAAACGGTAGTGATCGCTCTGCGATCCGGACATGTGTGCCGAGCTTCCGGATTGTTCACTTGCATCGCATGCACTGCGTCCTTCCCCGCTGCCGGTGCCTGGATTGCTGTTGTTGTTGAACTGGGTGCTTTCGGATGATCTCATGACCAATCCATGACTACCCATAAATCCTCCAACCACTCCGTAGTAGTTTGAATTTGGAACCGAGTTTGGTCGATGCCCGGAGCCTATTCCTTCCAGGGTACAAGCTTGCTGCGAGGCAGACCTGGGCATTCCCAGGTAGTTGCGGGTCGTCATCGACATGTCCGGACTTGCCGCCCGCGAGTAAGGCGGTGGAATCAACGTGTTCGCCTCGTTAGCCGTACAGATGAAGCTGGAACTAAGCGAATCCACAGTACTGGTCCCGGATAGAGATCCCACCGGTCGGACGATGTAGTTCCGGAAGTACTGCACCATCAGGTAGTTGGCACCGCCCCCATTTCCACCCTTTCCAGTGTCTCCGGTGTAGCTGAACACCAGCGGGTATAGGTCCGGCTTTGAGGTTACCTGCAAAGAAGAAAAAGGGATTACTGGATGATTTCAAGGAATGAAGATTCACTGGTTGATTACCTCCGTGTACGGTGGCGGTGCGTGAATGTGGAACGAATTGCACCGACTGTACTGGGGTGGGGCGTAGCACGACCCGGCCGAGTCACCCTCCGACTGGGAATGGTGCCCCGGGGAGCCCCAGCCGCACAGCTGGCGGCGTTTCTTCCACAGGGAACAGGCACAGAGCAGGGCCAGCACGATGGCCAGTATGAAGCACCAAAAGTACCAATGGTTGAACAGGAACAGATTCAGTACGTGGTCCGTCGCCGGGGTCGGTGTCCGGGGGGCGCTCGGAGGGGCATACAGGTAGCAGCAGCCCTGGGCGCAGCATTCCTTCGGTGGGTGGCAGCGATGGCCACCGTCGCAGAAACGCGCAGCCACCTAGATGGGCGAGAAAAGCAGCAGCAGCATGAGAATTGACGTCGTCGTCCAGCGGTTGTAGGTGAACAGGGGGCAACGGGATTGCCGGAGGTTGCGAAATAGATACAACTAATAACCATTTTGTAGCAATAACTATTAGGTAGGTACGTGTGTAGATCAATCAAGGACTGTGGTGGGGAAGCTTGGGGGTGCAGAGTGCAGTAAAGTGTTTTGGTGCAGCAGTCGGTATTTATGCAAAAGGGGGTGGCAGAGAGAGAGAGAGAGAGAGAGAGAGAGAGTAGTAAAGCCAAAATACACAAGGCAACACATGGTGAAAATGGTGAAATCAGAGATCGGCGGCGGGGCGGTGGTCGTAGTGGTGCAGTCAGTGTGCAGTGCAGTGCAGTGTAGTTTGGTGCTGGTGGCGTCATCCTGCCAGGTGTTGGTGAGTTGCAGTTATGGAGAACGAAACGAGATACTCGGCCCCGAAAGAGGTGCAACCGTATACATCTATATAGTGGCGAACCGATGAGCTACAAAGTGCATAATAATAATAATAAAGGAAAATAATCGTCTTCTGTGGGGTGTTGGTGGCGATGGTGGTGTGCGGTTGCATGATGGGAGAGGAAGTGAGATGCGGCTTCGACCTTTGATGATGATGATTTCCGCTCAAATACGGTACGGCTGAATGGCTCAAGGTCGAGTGGTTGATTGCGATGGGGATGTGGAAATGAAGATATTTAAGAAACAAAGGATACTGGCTATGTGGTGCTTTTGTGGGTCGGTTTTCTCTACAAGAGGGTTCTTAAGAAGAAGGCAATGTACTAACCATATTGTTTTAGAAGAAATTCATGTAACTTCAAATTCGTTAATTGCATTGAGAATGAAGCCATTGATGGTTAAAAATTGATTTAATATTCCTTTGGTGAGTATGCACAGTTATCTCAAAATTGAGCGTAGAGCTGCCCTTAAATTTATGGAAAACAGCACAGTTTTAAAAGATAGATTTCTCAATTTTTGACTTTTTTTTCTCATAATACATTTAACAGTCGGTAAAAAGTTAGAGCTATTTTATAAAAACGCCTTTAATAATAAAAAAAAAACACACATTTTGTTGAAATACAATTACCCACCTTTTTGAAATTTTGCTCATTTGTATTCATGATACACATATTTCATATTCGCCTAATTTTACTAAAATTCGTTCACTACGAAAAAAGTTGAAAATCGAGCTTATGAGAAAGTTAGAATATGCTGATATGCGTAAGTTCCTTGAACATCTCATCGAGAGTTTCTTGAACTACCCGTGGAAAATTACTTTAATTTCCCTTACGAAGTTCCTTTACCATCCCGTAGGAAGATCCTTGATCCCATCGAAAGTTCCTCCTTGAACTTCCTGCCGGACGATCCTTAAACATTCAACCGGCTGTTCATTTATCTCCCTATCGGAAGTTTCTTGAATTTCCTGTCGAGAGTTCCTTTAACTACCCATTGAATGTTTCCAGAACCTCCCGTAGGAAGTTCTCTGAGTTTTCCGCCGAAAGTTCTTTGAACTTCTCGTCGAGAGTTCCTTGCTCTATCCGCAGGAAGACCTATGAATATTACATAGGAAGATCCTTAAAAATTACCTTTGGAAGATCCTTGAATTTCCCGTCAGAGGTTCCTTTAATTTTCCGTCAGAGGTTCCTTGAATTTTCCGTCTATAGCTCTTTGAACTTCCCATCAAAAGTTCCTTAAACTTTCCGTAGGAAGTTTTTTGAACTTCAAGTTGAAAGATCCTTTAATTTCCCATCCAGTTCTTGAACTACCCATCAGAAGTTCCTAGATCATTCCTTGAACTTCCCGTTGAAAACTCGTTGAACTTCTCGTCAAAAGTTCCTTGCACTACCCGTCGAAACTTCCTCCAACGGAAAAGTAAAGGAATTTTCTATGGGAAATTCAAGTACTTCCCGTAGAAAGATCCTTGAATTTCCCGTCGAAAGATCCTTGAAATTCCAGCCAGGGGTTCCTTGAATTCATTGAGTTTTCCATCGAAAGTTTCTCGAATTCCCCGTCGTAAGTTTATTGAACTTCATGTCGAAAAATCCTTGAACTACTCGTTGAAAATTTACAGAACATCTCGTAGGAAAATTCTTAAATTTGCCATCGGAAGATCCTTGAATTTCCTTTAGGAAGATCGTTGAGTTTCCCATCGGAAAAACCATGAATTTCTCAGTTTCGTGAATTTCCTGTCAATAGTTTCGTGATTTTCCCATCGAAGGTTCTTTAAATTTTGCGTCGGAAGTTCCTTGAATTTTCCGTCGTAAGTTCCTTGACCTTCTCATCGAGAGTGTCTATAACTACTCGTAGAAAGATACTTTAAATTTCCTTACGAAGTTCATTTTCCATCCCGTAGGAAGATCCTTCAGAAGTTCCTCCATCTTCCTGCCAGACGATCCTTTAACATCCCACCGGCTGCTTCTTCATCTCCCTATCGAAAGTTCCTTGAACTTTCTGTCGAGAGTTCCTTTAAGTACCCGTTGAATGTTCCCAGAACCTCCCGTCGTAAGTTCCTTGAACTACCGGTTGAAAATTCCTTGATCTTTCCGCAGGAATATCCATGAATTTTCCATAGGAAGATCCCTAAAATTACCATCGGAAGATCGTTGAATTATCCTTTGGAAGTTCCTTGAATTTTCCGTTGGAGCTTTCTTGAATTTCTCAGGAACTTCCCATCAAAAGTTCCTTAAATTCCCGTTGGAAGTTTTTTGACCTTAAGTTGAAAGATCCTTGAATTTCCCATCCGAAGTTTTTGAACTACCCATCAGAAGTTCCCTGAACATTCCGTCAAACGTTTCTTGTACATTCAGTTGAAAACTCGTTGAACTTCTCGTTCTTTGCACTACCCGTCGAAACTTCCTACAACGGAAAAGTAAAGGAATTTCGTATGGAAAATTCAAGGATTTTCCTACGGGAACTTTAAAGAACTGTTCAAGCTGTATTTCTCGTAGAAAGATCCTTGAATTTTCCGTCAAAAGTTCATTGAGCTTTTCATCGAAAGTTTCTCGAATTCCCCGTCGTAAGTTTATAAGTCGAAAGTTCCTTGAACTACTCGTTGAAAGTTCCCAGAACATCCCGTAGGAAAAAACCTAAAATTTCCCATTAGAATATCCTTGAATTTCTTTTAGGAAGATCCTTGAATTTCTCATTGGTAGATCCTTGAATTTTTTGCCAAGAGTTCCTTGAATTTCCTGTCAGCAGTTTCGTGATTTTCCCGTCAGAGGTTCTTTAAATTTTGCGTCGGAAGTTCTTTGAGTTTTCCGTTGAAAGTTCCTTGAATTTACCGTCGTAAGTTCCTTGAACTTCCCATCGAAAGCTACTTAAGTTTCCTTACAAGAGTAATTTTCCTGTCAAAGGTTCTTTAAATTTCCCATCGGAAGTTCTTTGAGTTTTCCGTTAAAAGATCCATGGACTTCCCGACGCAAGTTCCTTGAACTTCCCAAAGGCAGCTGCTTGAGTTTCCCTTCAAGAGTTTTTTTTTAACTTCCCGTCAGCAGTTTCTTGATTTTCCAGTCAGAGGATCCTTTAATTTCCCATCGAAAGATCCTTGAATTTCATGTCAGAAGTTTGCCATCGAAAGTTCTTCGAGCTTTCCGCCAAAAGTTCCTTGAATTTCCCATCGTAAGTTCCTTTAACTTATCATCGAGAGTTTCTTGAACTACCCGTAGAAAATTACTTTAAATTCCCTAAGGAAGTTGCTTTACCATCCCGTAGGAAGATCCTTGATCCCATCGGAAGATCCTCCAGAAGTTCCTTGAACTTCCTGCCGGACGTTCCTTAAATATCCCACCGGCTGTTCCTTCATCTCCCTATCGGAAGTACCTTGAACTTCCCGTCGAGATTTCCTTTAACTACCCATTCAATGTTCCTAAAACCTCCCGTCGGAATATCCTTGAATTTCCCATTGGAGATCCTTGATTTTCCTACCAGAGGTCCATTGAATTTCCCGTAGGAAGATCCGTGAATTTTCCATAGGAAGATCCTTGAATTTCCCTTTGGAAGTTCGTTGAATTTTCCGTTAGAGGTTTCTTGAATTTCCCGTCTATAGCTCCTTGAACTTCCCATCTAAAGTTCCGTAAACTTTCCGTAGAAAATTTTTTGAACTTCAAGTTGAAAGATCGTTGAATTTCCCATCCGAAGTTCTTGAACTACCCATCAGAAGTTCCTTGAACATTCTGTCAAACGTTCCTAGTTGAGCTCGTTTAACTTCTCGTCCAAATTTCCTTGCACTACCCGTCGAAACTTCCTCCAACGGAAAAGTAAAGAAATTCCCTTTGGGAAATTCAAAAATTTTCCTACCGGAAGTTTAAACAACTGTTCAAGCTTTACTTCCCGTAGAAAGATCCTTGAATTTCCAGTCGAAAGATCCTTGATGTTCCAGCCAGGGGTTCCTTGAATTTTCCGTCGAAAATTTATTGGGCTTTACATCAAAAGTTTCTTGAATTCCCCGTCGTAAGTTCCTTGAACTACTCGTTTAAAGTTCCTTGATATATCCACAGTAAGAACCATGAATTTTCCAAAGGAAGATCCTTAAAATTATTATCGGAAGTTCGTTGAATTTCCCGTCAGAGGTTCTTTGAATTTTCCGTTGGAGGGTTCTTGAATTTCCCGTCTATAACTCCTTGAACTTCCCATCGAAAGTTCCTTAAACCTTAAACCCGTAGGATGTGTTTTGAACTTCAAGTTGAAAGATGCTTGAATTCCCATCCAAAGTTCTTGAACTATCCATCAGAAGTTCCTTGAACATTCCGTCAAACGTCAAACGTTTCTTGAACTTTCCGTTGAAAGCTCATTGAACTTCTCGTGAAAAGTTCCTTGCACTACCAGTTGAAACTTCCTCCAACGGAAAAGTAAAGAAATTTCCTATGGGAAATTCAATGATTTTCCTACGGGAAGTTTAAAGAACTGTTCAAGCTGTACTTCCCGTAGAAAGTTCCTTTAATTTCCTTTTGAAAGTTCATTGAGCTTTCCATCGAATGTTTCTTGAATTCCCCGTCGTAAGTTTATTGAACTTCCTGTTGAAAGTTCCTAGAACTTGTCGTTGAAAGTTCCCAGAACATTCCGTAGGAAAATCCTTAAATATCCCATCGGAAAATCTTTGAATTTCCTTTCGGAAGATCTTTGAATTTCTCATCGGTAGATCCTTGAATTTTTTGCCAAGAGTTCCTTGAATTTCCTGTCAGCAGTTTCGTGATTATCCCGTCAGAGGTTCTTTAAATTTTGCGTCGGAAGTTCTTTGAGTTTTCCGTTGAAAGTTCCTTGAATTTCCCGTCGTAAGTTCCTTTAACTTCCCATCGATAGCTACTTAAGTTTCCCTACAAGAGTTCCTTGAGCTTTCCGTCAACAGATTATTGATTTTCCAGTTGAAGGTTCCATGAATTACCCGTCGGTAGATTCTTGAATTTCTCATCGAAAGATCCTTGAATTTCCTGTCAGAAGTTTCTAGAATTTCTCCCGTCTGAGGTTCCTTGAATTTGTCATCGAAAGTTCTTTGAGCTTTCTGCCAAAAGCTACTTGAATTACCCGTCGTAAGTTGCTTGAATTTCTCATCGAGAGTTCCTTGAACTACCCATCAAAAGTTACGGAAGATCCTTGAATTTGTCGTCAAAAGTACCTTGAACATCCCACCAAACGTTCCTTAAATATCCCACCGGCTGTCCCTTCATCTTCCTCATCGGAAATTCCATGCACATCTCACCAGTAGTTCCTTAAACCTCCCGACGAAAGCTTCATGAGCATCCCATGGTCAGATCGTTGAGTTTCCTTTCAAGAGTTTCTTGAACTTCCCATCAGCAGTTTCATGATGTTCCAGCCAGAGATTCCTTGAATTTCCCGTTGAAAGTTCTTTCCCTCGAAAGTTTCTTGAACATCCCGTAGTAAATTTCGTGAACTTCCCGCCAAGAGTTCCTTTAACTACCCATTGAATGTTCCCAGAAGATCCTTGAATTTCCCATCGAAAGATCTATGAATTTCTGGTCAATAGCTCCTTGAATTTGCCATCGGTAGATCTATGTATTTCACGTCAAGAGTTCTTTGAATTTCCCGTCTGGAGTTTCTTGATTTTCCCGTCAGAGGTTTATTGAATTTCCCGTTGGAATTTCCTTGAATTTCCCGTCGTAAGTTCCCCGTAAGTTTGTCGAGAGTTCTTTGAACTACCCGTTGAGAGTTCCTTGATCTTCTCGTAGGAATTCTCGTTGAATTTAACATCGGAACTTCCGATGGGGGAAGATTAAGGAACATCCGCCGGGATATTTAAGTAACGTCCGGTGGGAGGTTCAAGGTACTTTTGACGACAAATTCATGGATCTTCCATAACTTTCAACGGGTAGTTCAAGGAACTCTCGATGAAAAGTTTAAGCAACTTAGGACGGAAAATTCAAGTAACTTTTGGTGGAAAGCTCAAAGAACATTCGATGACAAATTCAAGAAACCTCTTTCAAGGAATCTCTGACGGGAAATTCTTTAAACTTCAAGGAACTTTATACGAGAAGTTCAAAGAGCTTTCGACGGAAAGTTCAAGGAACATTTGACGGAAAGTTCAATGAACTTCCGACGGGTAGTTCATGAACTTCTCACGGGAAATTCAAAGGTCTTTCACCGGGAAGTTAAAAAAACTTCCTACGGAATGTTCAAGGAACTTTCTACAGAAATGTTAAGGAACTTTCGATGGGAAGTTCAAGGAGCAATCGAATTTAAGAAACCTCCGACGGAAAATTCAACGAAAGTCCGATGGTAAGTTCAAGTATCTTTCGATGGAAAATTCATGGATCTTCCTACGAGAAGATCAAAGAGCCTTCAACTGGTAGTTCAAGAAACTCTCGACAAAAAGTTCAATAAACTTACGATGGGAAATTCCAAGAAATTCTAACGTGAAATAAAATAAACTTCTGATGGGAAAATCAAGAAACTCCTGACGGGAAATTATTATTATTATTATTATTTATTATTATTATTCATGGAACTCTTGACGCAAAATTCAGAGATCTACCGATAGCAAATTCAAGGACCTATTGTCGGGAAATTCATAGATCTTCCTATGGGAAATTCAATGGGTAGTTAAAGGAACTCTCGGCAACCTTCCCGTCGAGAGTTCCTTCAACTACCCATTGCTTGTTCCCAGAAACTCTCGTCGGAAGATCCTTGAATTTCTCGTCAATAGCTCCTTGAATTTTCCATGGGTAGATCTATGAATTACACGTCAGGAGTTGCTTGATTTTGCCGTCAGAGGTTTATTGAATTTCCCTTTGGAATTTCTTTGAATTTCCCGTCGTAGGTTTCTCGAACTTTTTGTCAAGAGTTCTTTGAGCTACCTGTTGAGAGTTCCTTGATCTTCTCGTAGGAAGATTCTTGAATTTCCCGTCGATTGCTCCTTGAGCTTCCCATCGAAAGTTACTTAACATTCCAATAGAAAGTTCCTTGTCATTTCTTTTCTAAAAATACTCATATTGAAGGGTATTTGACAGTATTTCTATCCTTTTCTGAAACCGGAAGCCGCCATCTTATATTTCAAAATGGCGTCGGACATTGATATTCGACATCTACATGTCATCTAAAAAAATCCATATTATTGGATATTTGACAGTTTTTTCTGGAGAGGAGAGAGGCCGCCATCTTGCATTAAAAAATGGCGTCAGACATTAATTGTAGTACTTGTTCCGAAAATACCCATATTGTAGGGTATTTGGCAGCTTTTCCGAATTTGAGAGCCACCATCTTGGACATCGATTTTCGGTCTCTAGACGTCATCCCGATTCCGAGAATACCCATATTGAAGGGTATTTTGCAGTATTTCTAACTTTTTCTGAAATCGGCAGCCTCCATCTTTGATTTCAAGATGGTGTCGTAAATCGATTTACTGGTTTAAGACGTCATCTCGATTCCGAAAATATCCATATTCCATCCATATTGGTCTTGATCCACTGAACAACTTCGCCGAAGAAAGCAACTTCCTAGATGGCAAGGATTTCAAGATATCACACAAACAAGGGCATCATTAATTCCGAACTTCTGTCCACCAACCTTAGGTCTTGATCCACTGAACAACTTCGCCGAAGACAGTAACCTTCTATTTGTCCAGGATCGTGAGATATTCCATGTGGGTCCCTATTAGGTCAAATACCATATGCTACGTGTACTCCATTTACGTGATTCCCTCGCGTAAACGGAATCATTCCAACGTAAATGGTATTCGTGTAGACTGAGTTCGCGTTATTCGGGAGAAGAGTGTATTACGAAGTTCAAGTGGTAGTAAACGTCATTTTAACTGCTCGAATGAAGTGGTTAATTAATCACATTGTCGAGTAGTGTTGGGATGACCTTCTACCAGCGAGTTTAAGAATTTGTGCTTTCAGAGATTTAGTTCCGTTTTACGGATTAATTCCAAGCAGAAGGAATTCAAATACCAGAAAACAAATTTTAAGATTGTCAATGCACACTTTGTTTTTTGTAGCATTCATCCAATTTTCATACTGGTGGTAGAACCATATAGGTAACTCTAAGACCAGAAGGTCCCGAAGAAACGTGCTCAACTTTTTGGCTCAGCTCTAGTACTCTCTTCCGTCCCAAGCTAATCGATGCACCCCTCGAAACATAGGAAAATCCACGAACCCCTCATTTTATCTGGCAAACTTTCATAGCGAATCGAAACAAACATAGTGTAGTACTAGAATTTCGACTAGAATAGGTTACGTTAATCGATTTGCTTGGGACCATTAGGCTAGTCAAGTAGTGAGCCAATTTAAAATCGTTAGTTTACACCGGTTGGTAGAACTCTACGGTAGTCTCCGGACGGATTTTTTTTTTTCATAAGATCCATGTGAAGCACTAAAATTCCGATTTGTCAAGTTTAGCATAAATAAGACCCTATTTTCTTGAGGTTTTTATTCCACGAAAAAATTCAAGTGGTAGGAAACGTAATTTTAAACTGCTCGAATGATATGCTTAATTCAACAAAAATGGAGCTTTTGTTGATGAAGTTCCATCAAACTTGTTTTGTGACGCCTAATTTTAGGACTGCGGTACTCGTAGAAAAATTACAACCCAAGCTGACAACGATGCAAGGGGGGTGACAAACAATATTGACATTGAATTTTAGTATATATGCTTTCATGAATTTGAATGACACGGAAATTAAACTGATGACAACGGACAACATGCGGGTTTGTTGGTGATGATGATGATGATTGAAAAACTGCTCTTCACTGCAGCAGTCCAAACTTGTCACATTCCAAAGGGAAAATTTACCCTTTTCTCTATCAATCAAATCGAAAAACAAGCAAATAGTGCATCAAAAACCGTGGCGGCGGTGTCGGTGACAGAGAAGAACGAAAACAAACGAAACGAAACGAAACATCCAAATCAGGTGACACTTGATTGATGCGGGAAATTGATCGGAGGACGAAAAACTGATGTTCTATTTACGACTGAATCTTTTCTGTGCATTTGGAGATTAATTTTGGCCGCCTTCCGCTACTCGCTTTCCTCCCGAAGCAAAGCGAAACTTTTCCCGTTTTGTTTATGTGGTTTATTTTAATCTACTCCTCAGATCTCGACTCTGCTTTTTTCTTCTTTCTCCTCTCTCTCTTTGTTCGAGGAAATGTCCTTGTGTTTTGGTTCCGCTATTAACTGTTACTTCCGCGGTACCTCCAAGTCAGTTCTGTTTTCATTTAGCAGGCGACTTTCTGCAGCGGCGCACATTTTTCCTTTTAGTCACTCACACACACTCACACGGACAGGGTCGTCACCACGAGGAGCGAACTATAAATACGATGACGGCAAGGATGGGGTGGCAATTTTCACACAGCGAGCGTCCACCGAATTGACGTCTGTCGGACGACACACCACAATTTCTTCCTCAGCAGGCCTTGCACTGATTCTATCCCCCACCAAGTTGATGGCTGAGATTATTATTTTTCGTCACACCACCATCGCCACCAGCACCACTAGCACCAGTTTCTGCACCATCCGAGCTCATCACCACGCAGGATATGGCCTTCTCACTTCTTTTTTTTTTGTTGTTGTTGTTGTGTGCACTTTGTTTTTCTTTGTTTTTCCTCTCGAGCAAGGGATGGGAAAATGGCTTTATTCAGCAGCTTTTGCCTGTGACGAGGCGAGCACTCGACGAGTTGGAGAGTTCTTCTTTCGCTGTTCGATGCGATATCCTTCGAATGTTTTAGCGCTGATTCGAGAGAAATCGACAGATTGGTTTCAGATTACAGAACAATTTAACTGTTTAACATTGTGGAATGGGTGGAACTTTAGACACGAGCTTCAGGACGGATGGAACGGAAAAATTAGAAATTCAGTGTTGCCAGACGGTTCCGAAATATTTCACATAGCAGCCACCCGAGATGTGTAAGATTAGATAAAGATATTCAGAATTTATATAATGTATAAGACTCTTAAAATACGATTATAATCTTTCCAGCAGTCCGCTCCATGTAAATGATAAGAAAGAATAAGATTTTTGGCTGGTTGTCAATAGATTAATAACTTTTATTAACAATGAGTCTTAAGTCAATTACAATTAATTACAGTGTTCAGTCTAATTGTGTTTTTTTTTTGCAAATTGAAATGAAGTGTTTTTTCACGGAATATTTAATATCTGGCTGTACTGTTACGCGCACGCATTGTTTTTAAGGCCGGCGCACAATAGATACGTTTTCAGGTTTTTTGACAGTTAGCCCATGCATTATCTGTCAAAAAACCCGAAAACGTATCTATTGTGCGCCGGCCTTTACTGTTGTTGATATTCGAAAAATTTCTGTGAGTTCAAGCGAGTCCTGGCATATTATGGAAAAAGTAGCCAGGAAAATGGCTGTTAATTAATTTAAATGACCTAAATTTGATCAATTCCGGAAATGAATTTAATGAAAGCGCAAAGCACGACCACATTGTTTACGCAGAACTACGAGAATATTTTTGCTGCTCCATTTAAAACTATACATATATTATGAACAAGGGGTGAGACATCTTTACTCTGAGTTGCTTTTTTGCAGTGAGTTACTCGCGAGTAACTCACTGTATCTCAAAATTTAGTCGACCTTCATTGATTTTTTTGTCTGGTTACTCCGTTTATCCCTTTCACATATTAGACGTAAGTCTTGTTTGTAAACAAAATAGAATTGTTCGGCTATTGAAACGATGTGAATTCCAGATTTTGTTCAGAAAATGGCTTGAACGATGCTGGAAAAGTTTCGAAAGGGGGCGCATTGGCATGGATTTTCATCTGCTTCTCTATGTCGATTGGCTGCTGTTGCTGCTGTTATTGTTTTGGAAGTGCTTTTTGTTTGTATTTCCCAAAATGTTCCGTTTCAAAACGTTGAATGTGAATTAACTGTAGGTAGGTGGACAAATGCGATTTGTTCTCGTAAAATAACCACAGGAATCGTTTTCAGATGTCCACCGAGGAGAACGTGAAATCGTTGTGGAAAATCACTGGCATACATGGGAAATATCTTCCCTGTTGGATAAAAACCGATTAACATCCGATTCCCAATTCCAGCTCCGAAGGAAACGCTGCCAACCACTACCGCAGAATGTTCAGCCAGAGCATCCACACAGTCGACACTGCTGAAGTCGAAGAGGAGAAAGACGATGAAGACACAGTTGCCAAATGTTTCCGGTGAGTACGATCCTCATCCGGACATCAAACCCATCATCGATCTACCCGACGAAATCGAAGTGAAAGCCGGTGAAGAAGACGAAGAACAAATGTTCTGCGTTCGCTCCAAGCTACTGCAGATGGTCCAGAAAGAGTGGAAGGAAAGGGTTCTTGGCGATCTGAAGATTCTCAAGAGTAAATCCGATCCAACCAAGTACAGGATCGTCGGTATAGATTTTGCTGACGAGAAACCGGGGAACGAAATATGCTCCGAATATAATGAATAATAGTTTAAAAACGGAGACTTCCTTCGACGGCCGCAGCAGAATTTCGGTGGTGTATCGCAGCTAACGGCCCATTTCACGATCGCAGTTTCATCTAGCGGCAGGCTGTTGAGCGATGGGAACGGGATCACTTCGACGAGTATCGGAGGACGGCGGAGTTCGTATAATTTGCCGGATCTGGAGTATTTGGTCAGGCGGATCGAGTTCTTCTACCACATCAAGTCGGTTGTTTGTTGATGTTTTGCCTGACAGCAGCTTTTCGGCTTTGCACCTAAAGCCCTACAGTAAAAGTATGGACGTCTGTCAAAAGTTGTTCCAATCGAACCGTCAAAATGCACCGCTTTGCTCGATTGGAACAGCTTTTTTTCAGTTTTGTGGTGACAGTCGTCCATACTTTTACTGTAGGGCTTTATTTGCACCTTCATATGTTGCTGTGATGTGAAAAGTGAGAATGCAAATGACAGTGATCTTGCTCACTGAGCAATGTGAGTTACTCGAGGTGCCTCAAAAGCAACTCTAAAATTGATCATGATTAGGAGCTGTCTTACCCCTTGATTATGAATTTGTAGCAGAATAAATGGTTTAGAAATTTAACTCCAAAATGAACAATTAATTAATTTTTTTTTTAACTTAAGTGGTTGTTCAATAAATCCTCACATTCAGATTCAATTTTAGAAATTAGAAAATCAGTTCCGTCATAAATTCACATGTTTGGAAACTTATGTTAATCATGGCAAATCAACTTTATAAATTAAGGTGTACCTGACATTACAAATCTTTATGTTGCAGAACTATGACAGACAAGTGGCTTTCAACTAAAACTTATTTAACTTATTTATTTGACATTTTTACCTAGAGGATGAGTTCTTAAGGGGGTTAGATCATAGAGGTAACTCTAAGACAAGAAGGTCCCGAAATAACGTACTCAACTTTTTGGCTCAGCTCTGGTACTCGCTTCGGTCCCAAGGTAAACGATTCACCCCTCGAAACATAGGAAAAACCAATAACCCCTCATTGTATCTGTCAAACTTTCAAAGCGAATCAAAACAAACATTGTGTAGCACTAGAATTTCGACTAGAATGGAGTAAGTTAATCGTTTGCTTGGGACCAATAGGCTAGTCAAGTAGTCAGCCAATTTAAAATCGTTAGTTTCGTATTGATTGTTGGTAAGATTTTGATAAGTCTTTAGTGGGAATGACACTGATGAAGACTGCACATTGTAGTCGTTATTCGTATCTGCCATGGATACCAAAATTAATTAAGTGGAATTAAATGAAAGATAACCTTTTGACGTAGGACTACGTCTTTAATTTCTATACTGAAGGTCACATTAAAAAATCAAAATGCAAACATTTAACGAAAAATCCTAAACACGGACGCAACGATAGAGCACAAATCGAACACACGACACATTGCATATGCTCACATGAGCGAGCTCAATGCTCGGTTGACCGCTCACCATTTCAGCAATGAAAGGAAGGGGTGAGAAAAGCAGCGATAATAAAAACGCTTGCCATATCGTTTTCTTCATCATTTGCTTTCGAGCAACGGACGGATATGCGGCTGACAAGACGTATGAGTGGAACAGCACGCATCGCACCAATACGAAGACGACGACGACGACGAAAACACCAACATTGACCAGAGGAAAGGCTTCCCGTAAAAGCCGGTGCACAATAGATACGTTTTCGGGTTTTTTGACAGATAACCCTAATAAAAATTGTATGGTTAATTTGCTTAACGACGTGTTCTGGGTATCATCCAAAAAATTTGTGGAATAGTTCAATGATTTGGGCTATCGTTCGTTTATGGTTATTTTTATTAGGGAATGCATGGACTAACTGTCAAAAAACCTGAAAACGTATCTATTGTGCGCCGGCCTTAAGAGGCAGCATGACTAGGCTGCCGTCATCCGGTCGGCATCGACTTGCACTGGTGTGGCCACCATTTGAAAAACAACCGGGCCTTTTCAGGGCCACCAATTCAAAAACGGAAAGAGTTAAGTACTAAATGTCCTAGCGGTCCTACGTCTAGCTTCCGTTCGTGCCCCTAGGCACAGACTCTTCTACTTTATTTGCTGTTCTATTTAAGCATTCCTCTAACAACCCAATTTGATTACTTCATAACTTACTTAAGTTAACTTAAATTTCAACGGGTACTCAACTCTGAACATCTCAATCTGTGCCGAGTATTTTATCTATGCTGAAATCTGTGCCCTGCGTTGTGCCGAATGTGCCGAAGTGTAGCAATCAAGCTGTCAGTCTCAGTAACCCATGAGTTTGGCAATCCTGCAGTTATGACTTTTGAGACTATTTGTTTACCTTGTCAAGTTCTCACGGATCATTAAACGAACTATGTGTGTACATATTGCATAGTATATACGAAGGCAATCATTGTGCCTGTCATGTTTATAAGTAAAACGAGCATCAACTAACACGCATGTGAGTCTTTTTGTTTTGTACAACATTTATTCCTCTTGGTTCAACCACAAACGAAGTGACAGACGGAGCGGCTCGAAAACTTTGGTGACTAACCTGCTATTGCAATTTTTCAGTGTACCACATGGCAACACCACTACTACTGGATTGTACCACATGGCAACACTACTACTAGATTGAACTAGCATTTTCACTCAAAACTGAAATGCATAAAAAAATGTCAAAATGATACGCACTCTTTGCACACTGTCAAAGAATCATTGTACACAAAATCAACTTTGTTCAAATCAAAACAAAAAAACTAACCCATCTGGTGGATGATGGCACAAGCTTCCAAGAAAATTCTATTACAGTGAACCATTTAAATGGATTTCTTCGCCAGTTAGTCGTCTGTCACTTCGTTTGTGGTTCAACGGTGCCAAAAGAATGAGAAGATTTACAAGCGCTAGATCGTCGGCCACTGCTGGAACTGTTAGCCCGTATACGATGACCATTGCCAATCTTGAAGTACTGCCCCTCCACGAGAAGGATAAGGGTGACTGATGGCAGAAGTTGTCCACCCATGAGACAAGTACTCAACCGGAAATTGGAAGGTGTGCCTCTACATTATCATCATGCTACTCGGGCAATCGCGAAGGATGCGACCGTAAATTCTCACCGGCGATAGTAGAAGCAGCCATAGACCTTCAGTAGCTTCCTAATGCCAGCAGTCGCTGTTGAGTACTGAGCTCGTCTAACTGTTCTTCTTTGTCTTTCTGATCTCAACTTCCTACTTTTAATCCGTTCATCCACATCTTGCATCGACTAATACCCAAATGCTGGTCCAGGATCTTGATACCGTTTGATCCGCTT